ATCATTGTACACCACATTGGTGTGGATGGGCCTAATACTGACCGGCTAGTGGGTTACCATAAAATTCCCAGAATTAAGCTCTTTCCTTCCCAAAATTTCCACCTTATCTGACAAATGCACTCTAAGAACTTTGCACATATGGTATAGTCATCTAGTAGGACTACTGTTACATGCTGTCGATTTAACAGGTTTTTATGCGTCTGTACCCATATTGATGACAAATTGCGTCATAACATTGTCAAGGTGGTTCGGCAGTAAACTCTGACAATGTTGTGATGAAATTCATTGTCGATAAGAGGACAGACGCATAAAAAACTGACGTCAATATGGCTTTTACAATAACAAGATCCCAAAATGGTCAAATGCCAGGAATAATTGAGGGGAAAAGACGCCATTATCTTTGTCGCATACAAAGATAAGTGAATTTTATTCAAAATGAAGTGGACATTGTTAATAGCTTTTCTCGTTTTTTGATTGGCAACTTGAAAAAAGTCCATAAAATCTCATTGGTTGACAGTTTGATAGCTCAGAGCTGAACTTGAAAGCTTGTGTAAATTAAAATTTTATCCGTCTGTACTCTTGTTGACGATAAAAATGAGCCAGTCAGCGCACAAGAAATAAGATATTATAAATTATAAAATAAATATTTGGAAATAGTTGGGTGAGTGAAAATTCCCAGGATAAATCTGCAGGCCAGTCCATCCTCTGGCTAGGACAAGGAATTGGGTGGAATCGATGGCTACCGACAATCTCACAACCAATGTTTTCTTGCCCTGAATGTGAACAATGCTGAAAAATGACCTGCCAGATATTGGTAAATGTCTCCAAACTCAGATCGCTGAGTAGTTCACAAACGTTTAGGGCAGACAGCATTTCATACCCTGTTGAAGGCTGTATGGGGAAGAAACATACCCTTTGTGTTATACGCCCTACATGGAGAGCCTGCGATCGTACTATACTCTCCCCCATATCTCCAGCTCTTATAACCGGCACCCTTATTGGTCGGGACGGTCTGAAATCGCGTGATAAATAAATAAATCACGTGACAGGACGACCACTAACTCGATCCAGTGCTTACTCGACTGGGTTGATTCAGCATTCAGACCCGTTCACAATGGCTGAAGTAAATAATCTGCGGTTTCTGTGATGATATCACCTGTTCAGTTGGATAATAGTCATTAGTGATAAACGCAAATTAGTTTTTCTCTGTAGTTCCAGTATCTGAAACTCGTCATGTCGGCAGGCGCGCATTGCAGCCCTCTGGGTAAAATGGCGAAAATCACAGACTTTCTTTATTTAGGAGGACTTGCAGCGGCCAAAACGGAACACTTGCTCAAAGAGGAGGGAATTACCTGTGTTATTAACGGTAAGCTTATCCATATGCATGTTTCTGTTAAGGATTCAGTTAATACCAGATTTGTTTCGTACTTATTTGGGATGCCCGACGATAGTTGTTCGTTCATGTTTCGTCCATGTCTTGATAAGCTGATGGTTTTTTTTCATTTCCTGTCATTGTTTGAAGCATCGATGGAGGCTCCTGACGTGAGCTATGAATCTATTCAATGCACAAGGATCAGACTTGAGGACAATCCTACCTGCAACATAGGGATACACTTCGATCTGGTCGCAGATAAAATCGGTGAGCTGACTACATGTAGTCTGAAACTTACACAGACGAATACCCGTTCTGAGGCAACATCAGAAAAAAAAATTCATATTTATTTTTCAATGCATGTCCGCTAACAGGATCCTGAAATAAATAAACTTAAGTCTTGAATAACTTCAAGATTTTTACCAAGTCAAGTCCTTCGGTTCACCCGATACCTAGCCGGTATCGGGAATTCTTAGAATTAAGCTTAAAATTTTCCTGGTGGCTGTATTGTAAATATTGTTGTAAAGCAAACAACTTGTATCTTTTCAGCGGTGGTAAGCTGTTGTATTGTTTTCAAACATTTGGTGTTTCTGGCTCACTCCTTGTCTGCATATGTATATTGCAGATAAAGTTCGGCGGGAGAGAGGCAAGGTCCTTGTTCATTGCATAGCCGGAGTTAGCAGGTGAGTTTTCAGTTAAATAGTATCTGTCTAATGGGGCATAAGTTGATCAGCATGAAGGATAATTAATATATCTCAGCTTGTTGAATTTGGCGGTTTAAAGTAATTGTCCAATACTTGATCACCACTAATTGGTCATTTTACATATCACAACTGTTTTGTGTTGTTTCAATTTAAATAAAGCTGGAAATTAAACTTATATTGCCATTAAATTTTGAGCCAAACAAGATGGCTTTTTTCCATAAGGCCCACATATCAATTTACGTTTTGTTGAGCTGTTGAAGTGGGAAAAAATTTCTTATTGTATGGGTCTCTACATGTATCAAGTGGTCTGGGTTCTACCCTGTTTTAGATTTTGTGTTCTTGGCTCAAGACAATTGGTTCTATCTACTTAGATCAGATGAAAATGGGTACTGACAAAATTATTTACATTAATGCTGGGGTTACTGTAGACTATGAGTAGTCCCTCTTTCGCTTAGTCTGTTGAGCGAGACCGTAAATAAACCTTAACGAAAAAAATGGCAGTGTGAAATCCTGGGGGTGGGATGTGCGGGAAAGGAGGGACTACCAACTAAGCCCGAAAATTTGAATTATGCATTGCTCTCACAATGCAAAAATATGATTGGCTTATGTTGGGAGCATTCACAGCGTGATTTTATCTTGCTTCTCAAAGAGAAGAGTGATTTTATTTAAGAATCGCCCGGGTGAAGAGGGCGTCAAGATAAGGAATCCCATTGGACACATGTGATTAGATTGAAAATTTACATTGCAGGTTTCTTTTGTGTCTAGCATGATGGACTAAGAGAAAGAGGGACTACTTGTAGTCTAGGGTTACCCTGTGATGGATTAGCATCCCATCTGGAGGGTATGAAGGATGACAGGAGGGGGTATGAAGGATAAGTGTATGGGTGGAGTGTATGAAGGATACTAATCCTACCTTGCATAATTGTCATTTTCATTGTCTTCAACCTGGCCTTGTATAATTGCTATGACTCAGTAGGGTATGGATCTGCTTATGCGGTCTTCGGTCCCTGAGACTAAACCCCTTCCCTGAGGCAATTTTAGCAAGTGTTTATATGGGAAAATTGTCCCTGTTTGCCAAGTTAAAGTTGGTGCTACAATGTATATGTTTATTCATAAACCTTAAGTTATTTAACTTTCTTCTTTGGGTTTCCATGGGTAATTTGATCACTGTGGGCTTTGCCATGTTAATTTTTACTTCTCTGATATAAATTCCTGCTTTAAAACCTGAAATCCAGGCATTGTGTGACACTCCGTAGGCCGTCAGTTTCTCTGGGTAGGCGAGCCAAAGTGTTAATTGAAGAAAAAGTTGTCCCATCTTGCAGGGTTACCCACCTACCTGCAGAAGTGAGTCAACTTGCCAACCTGAGTTAACATGTTGTTTTGCCATCCATGATGGGTTGGCAGTCCTTAATGAATTAATTTCCCAATTGAAAGAAATAAGTGAAAAGTTAGCTTGGCTGGGGCATCTTGCAAGGAGGTTTGTCTGAGGTACCTGAGACCATCAAAATGAGCCCTTAATATAAATCTTTAAGTGTACACCTCTCCAATGTAAATACTCCCCTCCCAGGTAAAAACCTATGACATTCCAGGTTTGTTCTCATCCCTGTAAAGTTTCTCTGTCTGTATCCTGTCACTAGTGACTTATTAAAGTTGTGTGAATTTACATTTCAATGGATTTACATCACTTGAAGAATTAAAATATACATGCAGAAATAAAATGAAACTTGATCCTACCTGAGCTCAAATTGGTCAACAAAGTTGTAAATCTTACACATGTACACACTTGCCTGCAGTCCCATTTCTGAAAGAATTTTTTTCATTGCAACCTTGACAATAACTGTTGAAGTTACTTATTTTTTTTCAAGTTGCTTTAATTGCTTTGCAGATCAGCAACTTTGGTCTTGGCCTACCTGATGAAATATCAAAAGATGAAACTTATTGATGCTCATGCTTATGTCAAACAAAGAAGGCCACTTATTCGACCAAATCCTGGTTTCTGGAAAGATTTAGTGGACTTTGAAAAGAAGCTATTTCATAAAAACACAATAAATATGGTGGAATCAAAAGTTGGTGGGTAGATGCACATATTTTTATTATAAAAGAACAGTAAAGAAGTTCTCTTTTGTCCAAAGCTTAACTTTTTGATAATATTGTTCTTAAAAATTCCCATGTGTGTCAACATTGTAATTCAGTCAACAGTGCCCAGGGTTTCCGGGGTGGAAATAAAAAAATTGCAGGGAGATCAGTAAGGCTCAATTACCAGCCACTGTTCAGGAAAGGAGCATGCATGCGCTGCTCCCCCGAAGGAACAGCTAGACGCATGGGGATTCTTGTGTTTGTCTTAGTCAATCAGATAACTGCCCACAGATTTTTGTTGGGCATACATTACCTCCTCATATCAATCATGGTGGACAATCTGGACTTAATGAAAGTAGCATGCCAGAGAACTTTAGAGAGATATAAGATCAAAATTTTGAAATATTTACATCGAGAAGCGCTAGAAAAGTTAGTCGATGGCCAAGATGTTGCATTACTTAAGGTATTACTGATTCAGCCAACAGGGTTCTAAGGGAAATTTGAATCATGTGGTGCCAGAACGTCAAATAAAGAACAAAGTCAATAAAGCGATGGATAAACCTAAACATCGGGCTCAAGGGAGAAAATACTCTTTCAAATTGATGTTTGAAGAAAAGCAACACCACTCTCTGGTGAGAGTTTTGGTTGAAGACTGATCCTGAGCATATATAGTGGTAGTGAATAACTGGTTTACCAACTGAATAATTTTTGCAAATATTTCTTTTCAGGATTACTAATTCCTCATATCTACCAAGATGAAATGCGCAAATTGGTGTGGTGACAAAAGAAGAATTACTCAATATGTGCATACAAAAGTTTTTAATATATGCGTAAGGTTGCTCTGGATGTATCATGTTGTTGTTTCTTTAGTTTATGCAGGCATGGGTTCATACCATTTTCCACCATTTTACGCAAATGGCTCAGACTTGTCAGAATGACTCAGAAACCCAGGAAAGGGCTGGGACTTAAGGGAGCTAAAATCGAAAACAATTCCTGCAGAGCATGGTCCCTGACCCCCCTAGAAGCTTGCACCTTCAGTGCTTGTTGTTTTGGAAATTGGTCACCATTTATCATAGATCCATGCCTGCTATGAATGTCATGAGCCTGTGATCATCATGACTAAACGTACCAACAAGGAATTTTTCTGAGTAATTGATGTTCTGTTAATTATCAAATTCCTTTCCTCCATTAAACATTTTCAAAGTCTTGCTAAGGCAATTCTCTTGAGAAAGATGTAAATGCATTCCTCACGAATTAGGGACAAGAAGAAAGCATCTGAGTCCTTGAGGAAAGTCAAACCTCAAGGTTCGACATATTGGTTAGTTATTAGTAATAGTTAGGCATTAGCTGTAGTAGTCCACATCAGCTTTATTAGTTGCCATAGTTCAACATACTGATCAATTAAAGTGTGTAAACAAGTAGTAAAGAACCTCCAGGCAAATATAAGGAGACTGGCTATTGGCTAGATGATTCATGGCTCATTTTTTGTATGCATCCTGTACACTGCTGGGACCAGCAAATATGTAAAAAGCACCCAGCTGTGTGGAGGGAGAAAAATTGTAATTAATTTGTTAAATGAGATGAGGAAGATATTTATTCAGGTGAGATGGGAGTCAAGCCCATTACATTTTTGCTAAATTCTCACCTGGAACAACAATAATTTATTGTGATAATTGACTATGTGTTGTTTTTCTGAACATACACATATCGCAGGGGCATATCAGTACAACTGGCTTTTGCAGGCATTCTCGTAATCATAGTCACAAGGATAATTTCAGGGCCATTAATTTAAAAACAAAATTAAATTTGAAACTAAAATAAGTAAATAGACCTAGAGGAGCGTCAAATGGATTTATTGTAATGTGTTTACTACCTATATAAAGTTACTGTAATGAAATAAAAGTTCAGCTTTTGAAACAATAGGTACTCAGTGGGTACCTGTGTCAGCTGCTATGGGATGCAATATCTTTATAGATGGCAGTTGAGTGGGTTAATACTTAGCTATACCTGAATTTGTCAGAACTGTCACTCAGGGATATCTTATGCTGCATTATTAACTGCACGACGTAGGGCCAGTGCCGTTCTTAAAATGAGAAGCTTTTTTGATGATGAACTGGTTGTAAATAGGCGTTGTAGT